CCCAACTGTACGGTAAAACCCAAACGGACGGCGGCGTTACTTTACACCATTCCATTACTGTACGGTAAATCCATACGGACAGCGACGTCACTTTTCAACAATACCAATACTGTACGGTAAAACCCGTACGGACAGCGGCGTCACTTATCACCATTCCCAACTGTACGGTAAAACCCATACGGACGGCGGCGTTACTTTACACCACTTCAAATACTGTATGGTAAAACCCGTACAGCAGCGGCGTTACTTTACACCACTTCAAATACTGTACAGTAAAACCCGTACGGACGGCGGCGTCACTGTTCACTCCTGACGTTCAGTTACCAGGGGACTAATATGATGTAGTTTATGCTCAAAAACGTTTTAACATTGGTAAATGTTATGAAGAATGAAAAAAAAACACATGCCAAAGATCCAAAACGTTGTGTTTATTAATACATGTAGTATACAAAATTCAACATATGCATTGCACAAATATAAAAGTGAACAGGATCTTTTAAACTTCTATAACTTCAAAAGGCCAATGATCGATGATATATGGTGTAAATTACGGAAGACTATATGAATATTGTTCAGCGAAAGTCATGCTGCATATCCTTCATCAGTCATTCACAGCCTTATGTAATAGAAATCGTAACAAATACGGTGTACATAAATAGTATATATGATTATCAAATGAAATCTTAACGCGCGTCTTTGTTAAAAAAAAAAAACCTTTTCTGGCATTGAAGAATAAGCTCTCAGCGTCGTTACATAGTTTAACAACATGACATTACCCATCCCCTACAAGATACAGGTTAAATAGTACAATTCTATGCATCATGATTCTGCAAAATAGGTCGTTCAAAGACGACCGAACGCTGCGATGGATAAGCTAAAAAGTGTCTAGTGCAAGATGAACTAAAAACCACTCAGAGGAGATATTTATTTAGGTTTATGTTGTGTGTAAAATGTGATACAGTACAACATAGAGATATCATAAACAACGTAGCCGCAGCTTGAATTTGATAGAACATGTACAGTTGCGACCCTAGAGTTCAGAATAAATACTAGACAGGGCTATTGAGTATTGAAATATTTCACTCCCTTCATCTCTTACCCCGTCATATCATACATAAGTATGTATATTATGAAATGATGACGTTACGGGCTTAATGCATTGTTGATGTGACTTAATAGTACTGTTATACCTTAGGAATCCCCTCGTATCAACATTGCTATGCCTGTTCAGGGTCTGAGAAAGCGTAAACAAATGTTTACTGTTAGTTTACTATCTTGCAAGGCCTGCCACTTTGCAGTTTTTCATCTGTAGGCCTGTTATTTCTTTTCAAATATGCATGTGCCAAAATTCTTAACAAAACTACCCCTGACCTTTTATCCATAAGTTGTCCACATATTTCTAAGACAGAAGGCCATTCATATTTCATGACCGATAAACATGTGCGGAAAGTCTCTGAACGAAATTGTTATTAATTTCCTGCACTGTTTAAAAACAAAAGTCAGCTTGACAAATAGGATTTCGGTCCTGATCGCTGGAAATAACTTTTAACAAACCGGTAAACGTGTAAATTATGACGTTTGGTGGAAGTCATTTAATGAAATACAAGACTTATCTAAGTAAGAACAACTCATGTAATTACTGGGTAGGTAAATATTGAAGATTGTTGTAGCAGTAATAAGATGATAAACTGAAGAAATCATCTAAATGTACACGTAATATCACAGCATTGGCCCCGCACACTAATGGAAATCCTTTATATTTAATTTGTGCAAAATTGATAAACACAATTCGAAAAATAATTATACATTAAATGATAACAAAGTACCAGTGCCTTTAATACTAGAAAATACAAATAGAACGGATACTTGTTTATGAAAATATTAACGTTCTGATTTCTTTTCGTGAAAAAAATGTTAAATTCTCATTACACAACTGATATTTTTGCAATGCTCATTTAAAATAATAACCATCAAAAGAATAGGAAACAACTAAGAACGGTTAATTACGCGACAATCACCTCGCCGGAGTGTCTATATCGGTCTCCTCAACATCAACAGGTGTTCTACTCATTGAGACGTATCTAAATATTATAACGCTGTATTTTATAATTAAATAAAAACAATACTGTTTTCTGCAATGGCTTTTGTGCCCGGAATAACCATTCTAGCGATAATATAACAAATCTATGACAGATGTTTGACGTCATTATTTCGGTTCGTTTACATGTACAAGTAGTCATTAGTTTTCATTTTCAGAAATTAAAAGCAGAGTTATTTCAGAAATAGTTTAGTGTTATATTACACACATTAACTTGACAGCTATTCCAAAACGTTCCTCATTAAAATCCCAGAAATTACTCCGAAACGGTGACAAATGTACAAAACATATAATCACAGTGAAACAAACCACAACTCGACATGATTAAATTTCGCCTGTCAAACGCCATCACCATGTCACTAATCTAAACCGTTCGTTATATATAGTGTACATGATTAAAGTGCTTAGGCCATTCAACATCACTCAAAGGGCTCTCAAACGTTCATCACAGAAGGGGGCAGAATTAAGGTTCTTAGGTAAATCGACGTCTTTTCCTTACCAATATTAACCGTTTATCACAGAAGGCATCCTGCCTTCTGTGATAAACGGTTAATATTGGTAGTTAATATTGGAAAGTTATAAAATAAGTGTCATTTGCTTAGCAATCTTAATTGTTCATCACAAACAAAAATAAGTAAATAGAATTGGAATGCATAGAGTCTAGAAAATTTCTTACCTAGAAAGACAGTTCTGTCAGCATTGCACTTCTTTAAATAATGTCTCGCTGCATTAATGGTATCCAGATTCACTCATTAGTAAAACGTTTTTTAAGAAAAATGAAAAAAAAAGAATTAAACTACCTTGTTTCTATCACAAACATCGTACGGGCTTCGGGAAGGTATTTTTTGCTAATTCACATCGGCTTTAGTCTATAAATACCTGTAACACAATATTGCTTGATCCTTGTTTATTTCTTATGTAAAAAATCTAAAAAGGAGATGCTAACATGTCCAGTACAATTGTTGTTATAGCCATTTAATATACACGTACTTAAATAGCTACACCATATTACTTTATCACACACATTCTTTTTTTAATGACCTGTCATATATATACTTACTTACGGGTATATAAATTTGCATATAACACAAAGTTTGTGTTCGATTTATGTGTATTTACTTGTTTGTTTAATACATGAATTTGCCATTGATGTTGCAAATACATTTAAACAAAAATAAATTAAATAAAATGTAGGTGTAACCTTTTACACAAATCATAATAAACAGCAGTCTGTATTTTTGAAAAATCATCCCTAAACCCGACCCTATATAATACATACATGTACAAAACTCTACAAATGTGTCAAGATATCCAAATTTTAACATAGATTTGAACAATTAGCTACAACAATGCATAGACAATATTATTCTGTAAAACTTCTGCAAAAACTGCTGAAAACAACTTATTGTACATGTAATATAAAAAACTATGTAAAATAAATGAGAAATGTGAATTAACAGTAAATACATAAACAACGGATAATCCTGCGAAAATCTCCTATTTTAAAANTTTTTGTCATTCCGTAATTTTGATCTACAAATGATACCAAATCGCACAGTTGTGCGGAGAGAAGCGCACAACGGGGCGAACGATTGCTAAATCGCACAGTTGTGCGCACCATGTGTGGACGATGTGCGGACGGTGTGTGAACGATGTATGCACGATGTGCGCACGCTATTTTTGGTGCGTTGTGCGGTCCCACAACTGTAACACAAAGTTTGTGTTCGATTTATGTGTATTTACTTGTTTGTTTAATACATGAATTTGCCATTGATGTTGCAAATACATTTAAACAAAAATAAATTAAATAAAATGTAGGTGTAACCTTTTACACAAATCATAATATACAGCAGTCTGTATTTTTGAAAAATCATCCCTAAACCCGACCCTATATAAAACATACATGTACAAAACTCTACAAATGTGTCAAGATATCCAAATTTTAACATAGATTTGAACAATTAGCTACAACAATGCATAGACAATATTATTCTGTAAAACTTCTGCAAAAACTGCTGAAAACAACTTATTGTACATGTAATATAAAAAACTATGTAAAATAAATGAGAAATGTGAATTAACAGTAAATACATAAACAACGGATAATCCTGCGAAAATCTCCTATTTTAAAATCAGCCTTTTATATCTGCAAAATATTTTTAAAAGAAGATGTTGAGGACCCTAGAGACACGTGTTAATGCAGTTCATAATTAATAATGAGAAAGCACCGCTTAAAGGCAAATTTCATAAAATATGAGATTGCAGGTGTCTTACAATAATATTTACAAAAGTATGCATGAAAATGAATCACCAAAATATTGCATCCTATACATTAAATAAAGAAAGACATTTGATTTCCCAAATACTGTGGTGAACAGCCATACATGTATTGTAGCACCTGCACATCGATACTACATATTCTGGGGGGAAAGGCTTTATACTTGTAGATACATTTATTTTTCATCAGGATTTATATTAGTGAACAAAATGTCCGGACTAACAAGGCTTCAGTATATATAGGATCTTAAATGAGTTTTCATTTCATATGAGATTTTATGAAACGAGTCTTAGGAGTTTTTATTTTTGCGAGCCTTAGCGAGCAAAAATTAAATCTTCGAGACGAGTTTCATAAAAGCTCATATGAAATGAAATCAAATTTAAGATACTTTTTATCACATAACTCACAAAACTTACATTTTGACAGGTTTTAAAGCCAAAATGTAAGAGGGCTTAATCAAACGGAGACAGCCATTTTGTTACACCATTCACAATTGATGACGTCACGTTATTGTCCATATTATGACGTCACAATCGATTTCTGACTGACACAGCCAATGAAAAACGCCCCAGGGTACATTACTCTAGTGACATATGTTAAAATATTACATTCATATGATCACTGGATAACAGGCCGATTATGTGATAAATAAAAGTGATAAATAAAAATGAATGTAGCAACATGGTATATCATCAACCTGGCGTTGATCAGGCGATATCAAGTTCGACAAATCTTGTTACAATGTAAAGATGCAGAATAAAGTCATAACGTGTTAATTAACATGGTACTCTTGAACCATAAATACGTCCACTGATTATTTGGATGGAATAAGTTGGCAATCTCATTTTTTGACTAAAACAAAAATATATTTTCAGCTTAATTACATTTTACTGACTTAAAAAATGTATTCAACTTAATATACATTGGACACTTTGTTATGAGGCAACAGTTGAAATAATTGCAGAACTTTCCACAAACAAAATTTCTCAAAAAATACGATTTTCAAATCCGCAAATTACTGTGAAGGAATGGGGCACTCGGAGTAGGACAATGATAGGAGGCGCCCTATAAGGAATGCGCATATTAGATGATATACGGTGCACAACATTTTAATCATATGTCCCAGGGTCATAACCAACAGCCATGTAAAAAGCATATATTTAGAATAACTTTAATAAGGCAATTACACATGTATAGGGCTAACACTTTCACAATTACACGGCCCTACTTCTCTTAAAACACAGAGTGGAAAATGCATTCAACATTGGAAACGACAATTCGTGTTTATGCCAAGAATATCATATTTGTGTCAGTACAAGTTATATCAATAATATACTCTTAAGACACTTGTACTTTAACGAGCACTTTGCTACCAATGAAAAAAATGTATTTAGTGAATAAATGTTTTTTTAGAATATCCGTACAAAACCATTTTCACTTAGAATTACATCTATCAGTGTGCAGTATTTGTTCACTGTTGTGTGGTCTGTCTACCCTAATGCACATTGGAATGAATAACGTTGTTATATCAACAACAATGGCATGAATTAAATATTTGTCTGATCCAAAACGTTTTTCAGATAAATAAATCCCCCTGAACACTAGCCAGACTGACTACTTAGTCCACCGTTACCCCACATAAACACTCAAGATTAATGGTGATGCTATGAAAAGTGTTCCATCCTTTTTTCCAGCAATGTCTAATGCACTACAAACCGCTTTGTATGCCTGGTGTTATATATCATTGCCAGAGTGCCAATGCTTATGCAACTATATAAAATGACGGTATGAATTTAATTGATGGATTACAAATTACATGTAAGATATATGTTGTGGACTGCGTGGTAGCAGACTCTCCATATTAAGTTTACTTAAACTTGATGATGCAGTTCTACCGTAATGTTTAGTAGGCATTGAAAAATTGCATATTAAAAATTCAATATCCCAAATCCGTATATATTTCCCAAAGACGCCAATAAAACATTTAAACCACCGCCAATGTAAAACAGGTCACTATAATATCGAACTTACAGAGTGTCATTCACATCGGTACCGAACACAGCAGTGACTAACTAAGGAATGCTCATTACTGCTATGCTCAGTAATAGAGTCTTCAGAAGACTGATGTTATTTAGTTATAAAATGTACATGTGGATAATTGGATTTCAATTAAACAATTTCCAAACAGATATAACCTATCCAGTTGAAGTCCCTTTATAAGTAATGTGTACCCCCTAAGATAGAGACCAGTAAACAGAAATAACCTATCCAGTTGAAGTCCCTTTATAAGTAATGTGTTCCCCCTAAGATAGAGACCAGTAAACAGAAATAACCTATCCAGTTGAAGTCCCTTTATAAGTAATGTGTACCCCCTAAGATAGAGACCAGTGCGTTAGGCACAATGTGCACGTACCTCTAAACAGAGAGACGATGTTACACCTATCTTTTCACTGTTTTTCTGCCGATGTTTGTTTTTATTTTTTTTTTCTTCTTCCAACGTTGAGTTCTACTGATGAGATGGCATGGCAATATGGTGCAGTAAAATGCTATGTTTTGTAGTCATTATTACATGAACAACGTAAATATATCCATCTCAAAATAGAGAGAGAGAGAGCGAGATGGTTTGAACACGGTTTACATGAACAATGGCTCATTCCAGTGGTTGTCAAGAAACATCTTGACTAGGTCAATAATGAACTAGCACCGTGCCGTCTCATTCTAACCAGGACATGTACAGTTTGTGATCGAATCAACCTCGGTTTTTAACTAATGAACTAAGATAGCAAAAAACGTTCATTTACATTTTTTGGGGTAATTGCATAAGTAGTATTTGAAAATAAAGCTGAGAAATATTATCCACTATTTGGTAAACAGAAAACAGTTTATAAAAAATATACTATTCATAGTTCATAAAGAAAATACGATACCATATACAAAAATAATTTCCAACATACTTCGTAAACAATCATTATAAAGGCATCATTTTATTGTATTCTGTAACAATGTAAGGCCCCTTTTCTCTTAAATGTTGACAATGATAAATATAGTATATAATTGTAATCAGTTAAGCTTGAAACTGTGCATATCAAGTGACCTTTTTAAAGGACAACTCAAAGGTGATGATTCTGATTATTGCATTGTGCAGTGCTCCCACAACCGATCTTGCTTATGTTGCTGTTAACATAGACATGTCCAGGTATATATATACCTATCTCACCCTAGCACATGCCCAGAAAAATAAATGTATACTTATTCCACTCTAGCGCATGTCAGAGAATATGCCGAATAGCTATTCCAGCTGCAGTCAAACCGAGGACATGTCAGAGTATATACCAGAACAGCTATGCCACAATAGCACATGTCAAAGTTTATACAGAATAGCTATTACCGAATAGTTATTCCACACTACGACATGTAATACTATATACAGAATAGCTATTCCATCCAAGGACATGTCAGAGTATATACAGAATAGCTAATCCACCCTAACACATGTCAGAGTATATACAGAATAGCTAATCCACCCTAGCACATGTGGGAGTATATACAGAATAGCTAATCCACCCTAGCACATGTCAGAGTATATACAAAATAGTTTATCCACCCTATGACATGTCAAAGTATATACAGAATAGCTAATCCACCCTAGCACATGTCAAAGTATATACAGAATAGCTAATCCACCCTAGCACAAGTGGGAGTATATACAGAATAGTTTATCCACCTTGGCAAATGTCCGAGTATATACAAAATAGCTAATCCACCCTAGCACATGTCAGAGTATATACAGAATAGTTAATCCACCCTCTGACATGTCAAAGTATATAAAGAATAGCTAATCTACCCTAGCACATGTGGGAGTATATACAGAATAGCTAATCCACCCTAGCACATGTCAGAGTATATACAGAATAGTTAATCCACCCTATGACATGTCAAAGTATATACAAAATAGCTAATCCACCCTAGCACATGTCAGAGCATATACAGAATAGTTTATCCACCTTGGGACATGTCAGAGTTTATACAGAATAGCTAATCCACCCTCAGACATGTCAGAGTATAAACAGAATAGCTAATCCACCCTAGCACATGTGGGAGTATATACAGAATAGCTAATCCACCCTAGCACATGTCAGAGTTTATACAGAATAGTTAATCCACCCTAGCACATGTGGGAGTATATACAGAATAGCTTATCCACCAGCAGTACTGAAATATTCCTTCTGACCCACATGTCTCGATTACTATTATTGTATTATCTCAATAGTGTATAGCCAATGGGATATCACAATAGACTAGAAAAAAAAATGTTTGCCACATCTAATGGCACTTTTGTACTGCTTTAATGGCTTTTTCCTTTTCTTTCTTATCGAAAAGGAAGGTAAGAAATACAACCTATCCCTCGGAATGAGGTTAAGATTACATACATAACATCGGATAAAACTACGGAAGAACACTTCTTTGATATATCATCATGTTTGATTTTAATCATTTTACCTATACTTTACCCAAGGGAGATTCTTCACTGTATCATCCTACACACAGACATGACTGTTTCTTAATACCTGTTCCACTTTCAGACTTGTGGGCTTAACAGACTCCTGGTAATGAACCTAAGAGATTCAAATCTAATACCTTCAACCTCTATCTGCACATGTACACTCTAAGCCTCCTCAGCTACCTCAGGTGACCATGTCCAGTACTGCTAAACACCTCCTCCCTTTTTCTAAAAGACAACACAGTTTACAACCACGGTTTGACTATCCTAATATCTTTCAAACATGCCCATGTATCCACACTTTTGGTATAACCTGCATTCATGTCAGGTTATTACAACAATGTACCCTGCCTTAAACATGTCCAGGAATACAGATCATCTATTCAGCCTACAGACATGTCAGTATATATAGAAAATCTGGTATAAAAATTATCTTGTCAAGAATAAAAGGTTGGCTTATCGTCAACTTGTCAGGGCCTGGAATCTAGGAATGCCTGCAAATACCTCACCACCTGTAAACAAATGATTTGATGATAATAGAAATACAGAACAGAATAGAAATGACAGGTACTTGTTACAATTTAGTTAAGGTACCAGTATCCAAATACCTCTACATTGGAGCTTTTATTTAGTTCATTAAAAAATTAAAAGAAACTACTACATGTAAATACCTTTAAATACATTTAAAATATGACATAATTGAAGTAAATGTATTATATTACTTTTCAGAGGACATAGCTAGCAAGTGTGTTCGCTGTGATTTTGCTTTTAATTTGAAAAGTTGCTAAAGTTGATATTTGTAATGCTATATACAATGTAACCTAAGACTCAAATTTTTCCTTACTTTTGGGTAAAAGTCTATATCAATCAAACCATTTTCATGCTCAAAGACTCTGGTTCTGTTCTCAAGCTCAAATACTAGTTCAAGTGAGGAAATAAATACTTTTAAAATATGCAAATTATTTACAAATGTTCTGTGGAACCACAAGACTTGTAGCTCCACCATTCTAATGTATCGTAGTCACCTTTTGAACCCATTGAAGAATACCTCTTTTAGGTACAAAAAGGTCCATTTGACCACATAACTTGAACATTTGTAAGAGTATAGGCCCAAGATAGTTAGAATTGTGTTTAATCATAGCCAGTGGAATGATAAAAAGACAGTAAGACTCTACAAAGAGAATGACAATAGTTCAATATTCTTCAGGAATTATATTATCTTAGATGATCAGGAAGAATATTAGAAGTGTGGTGAAACTCACTGAGGACGTTTTCTGGGACACTGAAAGGTGATTCCGACAGCTTGACCTCTGTGTTATATGCCCAGCCTGGTATGGGTTGGTCCGCCCACTGTAAATGTCAATACTAACATGATTAAATGGTCTGGGAAGACTGTCCAGCCGTGTAGCACACCCCTTAACATTGTCACTGCGACCTGATACAGTGTACCCTAGAATCGGTAGCTGCTCCATCAGTATGTGGCTAGAGTCACTCTCTAGTGATAAGAATCAATACTGTGTATTTAATAGTCAAATTTCTGACATCTGTTCATTGTATCATAATTTTTCTCACACTTTTCTCAAGTGCTGCAGTCTGTGAGGACAATAACTTGTAGACTTACACTACTAGTGTATCTGGAGTAATGAATTAACTACCAAACAAAGCGACACTATACTGACTGTGTTTACTCTATGGAGATATCTGTCTTACCTGTTTGTTTTTCTGATGCCAAATACATGGTACTGGAACTGTAGTGACGAGACTGGAGTTGTTCTCTAACTTGACTAAAATCTCCACTACGTATCGGCACTGAAAAATAAGAAATAGAACTAAAGTGACAACGTGGTAATCATAACGCCCATCTGTTCAAAAATCTTCTTTTTACCACAAACTGTTGGTAAGGAAGTGAAGCTCAAAAAACATGTCTATTTCACTTTTCCTAAAAAATTAAAATTCAGCAACAATGAGGTTCCTTTTTTTAAATAATTTAAAACAACAAGAGGCCCATGGGCCTTAACGGTCACCTGAGTCCTACAATATTTATTTTTGTTGTTGAAATATGTACCAATTTGAGTAAACAATAGTATAATGTTAACTTAACTTTGTCAGGACCATGAGCTGATCATTCCTAGACCAATTTTAAGTGAGATCGGCCTATTAGAACTTAGTAGTAAAATAGCGGCCATGGCAGCCAAATTGTATTTCTGATTGACCCGAAAAATAACAACACTTTGTCAGGACCATCAGTCAATCATTCCTGCAAAGTTTCAGTTCAATCGGCCTAGCAGAACTTGACTTTAAGTTTGAAATAGTTTTTCAAAATGGCGGCCGTGGCGGCCATATTGGATTTCTGAACGACCCGAAAAATAACAATACTTTGTCAGGACCATGAGTTGATTATTCCTACCAACTTTCAGTTCAATCGGCCCAGCAGAACTTGACTTTAAGTTTGAAATGTAAAATGTTAACGGACGATGGACGACGGACGACGGACGACGACGGACGAAAACGGATAGCAATAGGTCACTTGAGCTAAAGCTCAGGTGACCTAAAAATAAAGATAAGCATGATAAAATAGCGAAATAAACTGTCACTTCCATAAATGTCTTTGAAGAACAAACTGCGTTATAATATAGCAATGGCTACACAATACAGAATTGTTGAGAATATAAAATACTGAAAGAGGCGATCTATAAATGGCATGGCTTTGTCATTTGTATGTTTAGCATGATAAAGTACAGGACGGATATCATACTGTAACAAAAAGTACATGCACACACTGTAACAAGTAGTACACATACACACTGTAACAAGTAGTACACACACACTGTGACAAGTAGTACACACACACTGTAACAAGTAGTACATACACACACACTGTAACAAGTAAATATAAAATACTGAAAGAGGCGATCTATAAATGGCATGGCTTTGTCATTTGTATGTTTAGCATGATAAAGTACAGGACGGATATCATCCTGTAACAAAAAGTACATGCACACACTGTAACAAGTAGTAAACATACACACTGTAACAAGTAGTACACACACACACACACTGTAACAAGTAGTGCACACACACACTGTAACAAGTAGTACACACACTCTGTAACAAGTAATACACACACACTGTAACAAGTAGTACACACACTGTAACAAGTAGTACACACACACTCTGTAACAAGTATTACACACACACACTTTAAGAAGTAGTACACACACACACAGTAACAATTAGTACACACACACTGTAACAAGTAGTACACATACACACTGTAACAAGTAGTACACACACACTGAAACAAGCAGTACACACACACACTGTAACAAGGAGTACACACACACACTGTAACAAGTCGTACACACACACTGTAACAAGTAGTACATACACACACTGTAACCAGTAGTACACACACACACTGTAACAAGTAGTACATACACACACGGTAACAAGTAGTACACACACACACACACTGTAACAAGTAGTGCACACACACACTGTAACAAGTAGTACACACACACTGTAACAAGTAGTAAACACACACACTGTAACAAGTAGTACACACACTGTAACAAGTAGTACACACACACTGTAACAAGTAGGACACACACACACAGAAACGAGGAGTACACACACACACTGTAACAAGAAGTACACACACACACTGTAACAAGTAGTACATACACCCACTGTAACAAGTAGTACACACACACACTGTGACAAGTAGTACACACACACTGTAACAAGTAGTACTCACACACACTGTAACAAGTAGTACACACACACTGTAAAAAGTAGTACACACACACACTGTAACAAGTAGTACATACACACTGCAACAAGTAGTACACACACACTGTAACAAGTATTACACACACACACTGTAACAAGTAGTACACACACACACTGTAAGAAGTAGTACACACACACACAGTAACAAGTAGTACACACACACTGTAACAAGTCGTACACACACACACTGTAACAAGTCGTACACACACACTGTGACAAGTAGTACATACACACACTGTAACAAGAAGTACACACGCACACTGTAACAAGTAGTACACACACACACACTGTAACAAGTATTACACACACACACTGAAACAAGTAGTACACACACACACTATAACAAGTAGTACACACCCACTGTAACAAGTAGTACACACACACACTATAACAAGTAGTACACACACACTGTAACAAGTCACACACTGTAACAAGTAGTACACACACACGCTGTAACAAGTAGTACACACACACACTGTAACAAGTATTACACACACACACTGTAACAAGTAGTACACACACAATGTAACAAGTAGTACACACACACACTGTACCAAGTAGTACATACACACACTGTAACAAGTCGTACACACACACTGTAACAAGTAGTACACACCCAACGTTACAAGTAGTACAAAAGCATTTGAAGGGAGACAACACTTACCTGTGTAGAAACTTATTTTGTGGTGCAAGTAAATATCTCATTGCGACAGGAACTGTTGATCTCTATGTGAAGAATTGATCATTTTGATAGAGAAAGCATACATACCAAGTTGTAAGCAATAGAAATATCCTCAAAGATGGTTAAAATACAGATAAAATCTGCTCGAGGCAGGTCATTTAAAGAATTTTTCAATGAATGTAGTAGTTACCTGTATGTGATACAATGTGACAGTGTCAAGTATATACCTGCATGTGATATAATGTGACAGTGACACACTGTCACAAGTAGTACACACACACTGTAACAAGTCGTACAAACACACTGTAACAAGTAGTACATACACACTGCAACAAGTAGTACACACACACTGTAACAAGAAGTACACACATACACTGAAACAAGTAGTACATACACACACTGTAACAAGTAGTACACACGCACTGTAACAAGTCGTACACACACACTGTCACAAGTAGTACACACACACTGTAACAAGTCGTACAAACACACTGTAACAAGTAGTACATACACACACTGTAACAAGAAGTACACACGCACACTGTAACAAGTAGTACACACACACTCTGTAACAAGTCGTACACACACACTCTATAACATGGTGTACACACACACACAGTAACAAGTAGTACACACACAATGTAACAAGTAGTACACACACACACTGTACCAAGTAGTACATACACACACTGTAACAAGGAGTACACACACACACTATAACAAGTAGTACACACACACTGTAACAAGTCGTACAAACACACTGTAACAAGTAGTACATACACACTGTAACAAGTAGTACACACACACTGTTACAAGTAGTACACACACACTGTAACAAGTCGTACACATACACACTGTAACAAGTAGTACACACACACGCTGTAACAAGTAGTACACACACACACTGTACCAAGTAGTACATACACACACTGTAACAAGTCGTACACACACACTGTAACAAGTAGAACACACACACACACTGTAACAAGTAGTACACACCCACACTGTAACAAGTAGTACACACACACACAGTAACAAGTAGTACACACACACACTGTAAGAAGTAGTACACACACACACAGTAAAAAGTAGTGCACACACACACACAGTAACAAGTAGTACACACACACACTGTAACAAGTATTACACACACACACTGAAACAAGTAGTACACACACACACTATAACAAGTAGTACACACACACAGTAACAAATAGTACACACACACACTGTAACAAGTCGTACACACACACTGTGACAAGTAGTACATACACACACTGTAACAAGGAGTACACACACACACTATAACAAGTAGTACACACGCACTGTAACAAGTAGTACACACACACACTATAACAAGTAGTACACACCCACTGTAACAAGTAGTACACACACACACTATAACAAGTAGTACACACACACTGTAACAAGTAGTACACACACAATGTTACAAGTAGTACAAAAGCATTTGAAGGGAGACAACACTTACTTGTGTAGAAACTTATTTTGTGGTGCAAGTAAATATCTCATTGCGACAGGAACTGTTGATCTCTATGTGAAGTATTGATCATTTTGATAGAGAAAGCATACATACCAAGTTGTAAGCAATAGAAATATCCTCAAAGATGGTTAAAATACAGATAAAATCTGCTCGAGGCAGGTCATTTAAAGAATTTTTCAATGAATGTAGTAGTTACCTGTATGTGATACAATGTGACAGTGTCAAGTATATACCTGCATGTGATATAATGTGACAGTGCTAAGTATTTACATGTATGTGATATAATGTGACAGTGTTAAGTATTTACCTGTATGTGATATAATGTGACAGTGTTAAGTATTTACCTGTATGTGATACAAGGTGACAGTTATAAGTATTTACCTGTATGTGATTCCCTGAGACAGAAGACGGAAGTGGTGCATGTGGATGGTCAGGTTCCTGCAGTTGTATGATAAAATTGTCCAGTCCGCTGCTTAGAAATAATTGTAAATAATGTCACATTCAACCCACCAAAGGTACATGTATATTATAAAACATTAATCAAAGGAAAAGGAAAAGTCTTACTCATAGAAAATCAATATTAATATCAATATAATATCACAGAATTTAGAATTTTTAAGTCAGCTAATAATATTTCCTTATTCTTTATTATTTTTTCATTCATCAAGCATAATCAAAATGTTAGATATATCTCAGTAATACACTTTCATTATATTAAATCTAAAATCCTTTCTTTTTCTAAGATAGTTTAATTACCTGTTCAAGATATCTGCTGCACAACTATCGACTGGTATCTCCTGTACTGTGAAGGGTCCTTTCTCTGGACAGATAAAGATTCTGTCCTGTGTCTCCTGTATACTGTTATCTTTACACATCTTTGTACCTGACAATCCACCCTTGGCTACAAAAGTTATCTCCCTTACCAGCCGGACGGTAATGTTACTGACGTTCTTGTTTGTCTGGTTTGTTATGATAATTCTGACTTTCATACCCTCCCCAGTCTGCTGGACATGTTTCTGCAATCTGTGGGGGAAATTGAATGTTCTTTAAATATTTTCATTCACAATTAAAGGTGTATTCTTCTCCCGATCCCCCACCTGCAGGGGTGACACTGTTCTGACCTGTACATCTGTATCACTAAACACCTGACCAATCAGAAACATTAATTAAAGATAGTTTTTTGCTGATTTTTGTTTCTTTAAATAATTTCATCTTCCCTTTCTATTAAGAATCAGAAATGATTAAATAGCATAGGTCTAGTTAGTAAAATACATGTAATAGTTATAACATTATGAGGCATTTCAAATATAATTTTATATGCATTGAAATATCCCTTCAATTCTTAGCAGTACAAGGCTTTGTAGATAGAATGGTTATTTAAACATAATCAGGGTACAGTTTGTTTTAAACATTTGTACTGCCAGTAGTACCTTAGATATGATTACAGCATAGACTTTCATCACTCAGAGTCCTACCTTGGTTCTGAGGACCAGAAAAATAACTATAGTGATCCTAAACTCTCCAGTACTAGTTTTAATATCATGATGTGGATTACAGGTTTAACATGCCATCCCACCACATCCAATTACTGTGTTATGTCATTAGACATTGCATTTTTTAGATTGTCATTAGTGCTTCTCCTCCATTTATTGTATTGTGGTAGTTTGTGTAATTAAAAAGAATGATTATATTACATTGTATGGTTGTGATATTTACAAAGCTAAAATTTGCTCCATTAATTTCTCTTTTAAATATATCACACACAATCCTCTATGTTTCAAATAATATATCTGATCTTTCTTTGTTTGCCAGTTTACCGTACATACTAACTTTGCTGTGACAAAAAAAGACTTCTTGAAAAATAGGAGGTAGGGGATGTCCAGTCTGTTGGTGACGGCCTGTGGGGTACTGGACCTCTCTGTCCTTCCCAAAGGGTGGTTCACTACTACAGTCTGGGTCGTCTGTACCATAAACAATGGCAATACAAATAAAACAATAAGAAATGTTTTGTTTTTATTAAAACCTAAATCGATAAGATAAACCTAACACACACAGTGATTTCACCATTAGATACAGTATGTACAACATGAATTACACTGGACCATTTAGCTGTTTAGTCGTTCTAGGACTCCTTACTGCTGATAGGGGACAAAAAGTTGGAAGAAACAGAGAGACATGCAGGTCTGTAAAACCCCTTAATATATGGACTTTATTATATTATATTATATTAGCAGCCATTAATACACAAGGCTGATTTAGAATCAGTACTCCACTACTACATTTGTATTTAAAGGATGTACCCATAATGAATTGTTATTCACACTTACAATTAAGGTAAGAAAATAAACATCCAAAAATGCAGAGGTATAGCAAGTTTGGTGCACATATAGGTGAAATAATAAGGAAGTTATGCTCTGGACAAAATTTGGTATTTAACCTGAACAAAGGACTATTATACAACTCTATATAGAAAGGGCAAAAGGCAATTTTTATGTGGCAAAGTAAATGGTTATGCTTTGGACAAAATGATGTATGTAAACGTTGAACAAAGGACCATAACTCTGTGTATTGTACATGTATGTGTCACGGTCTGCCATGGCAGGCTTATCGCTCGTGTCTGACAAAGCTTGTGTATTGTTTATGCATGCCATATCTGGTTTATTGCATTTGTCTGACATACTTGTAGCTTGTTAATTGTATGTGTCTGACATAGCAGGTTTATTGTATGTGTGTAACAGGAAAGAGATTTGCATGCGTCCACAAGGGATCGAAACCTGCAATCTCATACTTCCTAGTCAAACTAGTCACTGAGCTAAAGGGAAATTTCCTCTAGCGCGAAGTTAGAAGGCGACGATAATCTTATGTACAATTAAAATCTGCCATGCTATTCCACCCTTTTTAAATGTGTTCGCCCTCCAACACCACAACCCAGGTTCTAACCCCATGTCACCACTGGGAGTGCCACAGACACCATTTGTAACAGGAAAGAGAATAGTGTGCTTCCACCGGGAATCGAACCCACAATCCCATACTTACTAATTGGGCTCTCTACCACTGAGCTGAAGGGAAAACCCCTCTAGCTCAAAGCTAGTAGGCGACCATAATCTTATGTACAATTAAAATCTGCCTCATGTGTCTGACATATATAGCTGGTTTACTGTATATGTCTGACATTGCTGGTTTATTGTATTTGTTTGACATAGCTTGTTTATTGTATGTGTCCGCTATAGTAGGTTTACTCTATGTGTCTGACATAGTTGGTTTACTGTATGTGTCTGATATAGTTGGTTTATTGTATGTGTATGACATAGTAGGTTTACTCTATGTGTCTGACATAGTTGGTTTACTGTATGTGTCTGACATATAGCTAGTTTATTGTATGTGTATGACATAGTTGGTTTACTCTATGTGTCTGACATAGCAGGTTTACTGTATGTGTCTGACATATAGCTAGTTTATTGTATGTGTATGACATAGTTGGTTTACAGTATGCGTCTGACATAGCAGGTTTACTGTATGAGTATGACATAGTTGGTTTCCTCTATGTGTCTGACATAGCAGGCTTACTGTATGTGTATGACATAGTAGGTTTTTTGTATGTGTATGACATAGTAGGTTTATTGTACGTGTATGACATAGTTGGGTTACAGTATGTGTCTGACATAGCAGGTTTACTGTATGTGTCTGACATAGCAGGTTTACTGTATGTGTATGACATAGTAGGTTTATTGTATATGTATGACATAGTTGGTTTACTGTATGTGTATGACATAGTAGGTTTATTGTATATGTATGACATAGTTGGTTTACTGTATGTGTATGACATAGTTGGTTTATTGTATGTGTCTGACATAGTAGGTTTACTGTATGTGTATGACATAGCTAGTTTATTGTATGTGTATGACATAGTACATAGTTGGTTTACAGTATGTGTCTGACATATAGCTAGTTTATTGTATATGTCTGACATAGTTGGTTTACTGTATGTGTCCGACATAGCAGGTTTACTGTATGTGTATGACATTGCCGGTTTATTGTATGTGTATGACATAGTTGGTTTACTGTATATGTCTGACATTGCTGGTTTATTGTATTTGTTTGACATAGCTTGTTTACACTATGTGTCCGACATAGCAGGTTTACTGTATGTGTATGACATTGCTGGTTTATTGTATGTGTATGACATAGTTGGTTTATTGTATGTGTCTGACATTGCTGGTTTATTGTATTTGTTTGACATAGCTTGTTTACACTATGTGTCCGACATAGCAGGTTTATTGTATTTGTCTGACATAGTTGGTTTATTGTATGTGTCTGACATTGCTGGTTTATTGTATTTGTTTGACATAGCTTGTTTACACTATGTGTCCGACATAGCAGGTTTACTGTATGTGTCTGACATAGCTGGTTTACTGTATGTGTCTGACATAGTTGGTTTACTGTATGTGTCCGACATAGCAGGTTTACTGTATGTGTCTGATATAGTTGGTTTACAGTATGTGTCCGACATAGTTGGTTTATTGTATGTGTCAGTCATAGTTGGTTTACTGTATATGTCTGACATAGCGTTGGTCTATTGTATGTGTCAGACATAGTTGGTTTACTGTATATGTCTGACATTGCTGGTTTATTGTATGTGTATGACATAGCTAGTTTATTGTATGTGTCAGACATAGTTGGTTTACTGTATATGTCTGACATAGTAGGTTTATTGTATGTGTCAGACATAGTTGTTTTACTGTATGTGTATGACATAGGTGGTTTATTGTATGTGTCTGACATAGTTTGTTTACTGTATGTGTCTGACATAACAGGCTCATTGTATGTGTCTGACATTGACACAGCTGGTTTATTAGGTAACCCAATTAGATATTATATCAATTGTATTCCTTTTCCTCCGGTACACATGTAGCTATGTAACCCAATTAGATATTATATCAATTGTATTCCTTTTCCTCCTGTACACATGTTTACTGTATGTGTCTGATATAGTTGGTTTATTGTATGTGTCAGTCATAGTTGGTTTACTGTATATGTATGACATTGCTGGTTTATTGTATGTGTATGACAGAGTTGGTTTACAGTATGTGTCCGACATAGTTGGTTTATTGTATGTGTACGACATAGTTGGTTTATTGTATGTGTCTGACATAGTTGTTTTACTGTATGTGTATGACATAGCTGGTTTACTGTATGTGTCTGATATAGTTGGTTTATTGTATGTGTCTGGCATAGTTGGTTTACTGTATATGTCTGTCATTGCTGGTTTATTGTATTTGTTTGACATAGCTTGTTTACACTATGTGTCCGACATACCAGGTTTACTGTATGTGTCTGACGTAGTTGGTTTACTGTATGTGTCGGACATAGTTGGTTTACTGTATGTGTCTGACGTAGTTGGTTTACTGTATGTGTCCGACATAGCAGGTTTATATAGCTGGTTTACTGTATATGTCTGACATAGTAGGTTTATTGGATGTGTCTGACATAGTTGGTTTACTGTATATGTCTGACATAGTAGGTTTATTGTATGTGTCTGACATAGTTGGTTTACAGTATCTATCTGACATAGTTGGTTTACTGTATGTGTCTGACATAGTAGGTTTATTGTATGTGTCAGACAGTTGGTTTACTGTATATGTCTGACATAGTTGGTTTACTGTATGTGTATGACATAGTTGGTTTACTGTACGTGTATGACATAGTAGGTTTATTTTATGTGTCTGACATAGCTAGTTTATTGTATGTGTCTGACATAGTTGGTTTACTGTATGTGTCTGACATAGTAGGTTTATTGTATGTGTATGACATAGTTGGTTTATTGTATGTGTCTGACATAGCAGGTTTATTGTATTTGTCTGACATAGTTGGTTTACTGTATATGTCTGACATAGCTAGTTTATTGTATGTGTATGACATAGTTGGTTTACTGTATGTGTATGACATAGTTGGTTTACTGTTTATGTCAGACAGTTGGTTTACTGTATGTGTATGACATAGTTGGTTTACTGTTTATGTCAGACAGTTGGTTTACTGTATGTGTATGACATAGTAGGTTTATTTTATGTGTCTGACATAGTTGGTTTACGGTACGTGTATGACATAGCTAGTTTACTGTATGTGTCTGACATAACAGGCTCATTGTATGTGTCTGACATTGACACAGCTGGTTTATTAGGTAACCCAATTAGATATTATATTAATTGTATTCCTTTTCCTCCTGTACACATGTAGCTATGTAACCCAATTAGATATCATATTGATTGTATTCCTTTTCCTCCTGTACACATTTACTTTGGTAGTTACAACTAACAAGGCAGTCAGACATTAGTAAATACTAATCATGTACCTAAAGTTTACAACAGCCTGTTCCTTCATGAATTAGGCAAAATATAGCTTTTTTGTATTGAAATTGGGAATATATTCCTCTGTTTTTGATCATTTTGGGAAAATACGACACTTTTTAGCTAAGGGAAACGGCCTGTATTTGGCAGAAAAACTGAGCAAAAAAATAACTACAGGCAAGAGAGGTTTTACTGAACAGAAAAAAATATATATGCCTCCGAATGTTACATGTAGGTCCCAGGGATATAAACAGGAGTATACAGGTATATTCAAAGCAGTAAAATATGTACGAGTCAAGATAACAGTATGACATATTGTACCTACATAAATGTATACTGATTACAGTGTATACTGATTACAGTGTATATAACTTGTCCTGGTCCTTACAGTTGCAATGATCAATTATTAAAATTAGGAAAAGATTTATCATTCTGTTTCAAAGTCATCTCAGTTACTTTGTAAAATATAATTATTGAGTAACATTAATATAAACAACAGAAAAAAAAATCTTCCGGCAATAATCTATATTTCAATATTTATTTTGCAATGAATTTCAGATATGAAAGTTACGCCAGCAATTTGATGTATTGTCTTGTTTTTAAAGTACTCACATTAAGATTTGAAGCCTCAATCACCTCAGCACTCAAGCTGTATGTCACCTGAGCTGTCCAGCTACAATCTGAACCCACTCCACTGGCTTCAAAGGAGGCTGAGAAAAATCAATTCAGAAACTTATTAAAGTTAATACTGCAAATACTTGTAGTCAGGGATTAATCAGGTACTACATACAGTATGTAACACCAGTAACCTTTTCATTTGCAATGTATCAGAAGTTGTTGGGGTACTACCAGTTAAATACCAGATGGGTCTGGACTCGGCCGTAATACATAGCTGTACAGATCAGATTATATATAAGTCTCTCTGTAACTATGACAGTAGGGAGGACCCATTGTTAAAAGAATGACCCCAGGGCTCCCTTACTCTGATAGTAAGGACAGTTCTTTCAGAGGGCTGACACAAGAGCTTCCTTATACCCTCACAGTTAGGACACCTCTTTGTGAGAAAATAATCCCCCCAGAGCTCCTTTACCCCGATAGTAATATAAGGACACCTCTTTGTCAGAAAAAATGACCCAGGGTTCCCTAACCCTAACAGTAAGGATTTCTCTTTGTTAGAAGAATGACCAAAGAGTTCCCAGATCCTAACAATAAGGACATTTCTTAAGTTAAAAGTAGAAGAATGACCCATAGGGCCCCTTACTATATAGGTAAGGACACCTCTTTGTTAGAAGAATGACCCCAGGACTCCCTTAACCTGAAAGTAAGGATGCCTCTTTGTTAGAAGAATGACCCCAGGGCTCCCTTACCCTGATAGTAAGGACACCTCCTTGTTAGAGGAATGACCCCAGGATTCCCTTAACCTGAAAGTAAGGATGCCTTTTTGTTAGAAGAATGACCCCAGGACTCCCTTAACCTGATAGAAAGGACAACTCTTTGTTAGAGGAATGACCCCAGGACACCCTTAACCTGAAAGTAAGGATGCCTCTTTGTTAGAAGAATGACCCCAGGACTCCCTTAACCTAACAGTAAGGATGCCTCTTTGTTAGAAGAATGACCCCAGGACCCCTTATCCTGATAGAAAGGACAACTCTTTGTTAGAGGAATGACCCCAGGACACCCTTAACCTGAAAGTAAGGATGCCTCTTTGTTAGAAGAATGACCCCAGGACTCCCTTAACCTAACAGTAAGGATGCCTCTTTGTTAGAAGAATGACCCCAGGACTCCTTATCCTGATAGAAAGGACAACTCTTTGTTAGAGGAATGACCCCAGGACACCCTTAACCTGAAAGTAAGGATGCCTCTTTGTTAGAAGAATGACCCCAGGACTCCCTTAACCTAACAGTAAGGATGCCTCTTTGTTAGAAGAATGACCCCAGGACTCCTTATCCTGATAGAAAGGACAACTCTTTGTTAGAGGAATGACCCCAGGACTCCCTTAACCTGAAAGTAAGGATGCCTCTTTGTTAGAAGAATGACCCCAGGACTCCCTTAACCTAACAGTAAGGATGCCTCTTTGTTAGAAGAATGACCCCAGGACTCCTTATCCTGATAGAAAGGACAACTCTTTGTTAGAGGAATGACCCCAGGACTCCCTTAACCTGAAAGTAAGGATGCCTCTTTGTTAGAAGAATGACCCCAGGACTCCCTTAACCTAACAGTAAGGATGCCTCTTTTTTAGAAGAATGACCCCTGAGGACTCCCTTACTCTGAGTAAAGGACACCTCTTTGTAAGAGGACTGACCCGCAGGGCTCCCTTAACCTGAAAGTAAGGATGCCTCTTTGTTAGAAGAATGACCCCAGGACTCCCTTAACCTAACAGTAAGGATGCCTCTTTTTTAGAAGAATGACCCCTGAGGACTCCCTTACTCTGATAGTAAGGACACCTCTTTGTAAGAGGACTGACCCCCAGGGCTCCCTTAACCTGAAAGTAAGGATGCCTCTTTGTTAGAAGAATGACCCCAGGACTCCCTTAACCTAACAGTAAGGGTGCCTCTTTTTTAGAAGAATGACCCCTGAGGACTCCCTTACTCTGATAGTAAGGACACCTCTTTGTAAGAGGACTGACCCCCAGGGCTCCCTTAACCTGAAAGTAAGGATGCCTCTTTGTTAGAAGAATGACCCCAGGACTCCCTTAACCTAACAGTAAGGGTGCCTCTTTTTTAGAAGAATGACCCCTGAGGACTCCCTTACTCTGATAGTAAGGACACCTCTTTGTAAGAGGACTGACCCCCAGGGCTCCCTTAACCTGAAAGTAAGGATGCCTCTTTGTTAGAAGAATGACCCCAGGACTCCCTTAACCTAACAGTAAGGGTGCCTCTTTTTTAGAAGAATGACCCCTGAGGACTCCCTTACTCTGATAGTAAGGACACCTCTTTGTAAGAGGACTGACCCCCAGGGCTCCCTTAACCTGAAAGTAAGGATGCCTCTTTTTTAGAAGAATGACCCCTGAGGACTCCCTTACTCTGATAGTAAGGACACCTCTTTGTAAGAAGAATGAACCCATGGCCAGTGTTCCCTTAAACCCTGATAGTAAGGATGCCTCTTTGTTAGAGGACAGATCCCAATGTTTCCTTAAATATCAACAGTAAGGATATCTCTTCTTTAAAGGACTGACCCCAGAGCTCCTCAACCCTTACAATAAGAATGTTTCTTCATTTGCAAACTGACCCCAGAATTCTAGGAATTAAGCCTGAAACAAACAAATTTCTATTTTTGGATTTATTTCTTCCTTTTTAAATCTTCTTTGATGTTAGGTTAATTTAGTTGATCAATTTCAAAAATGAATATCAAACAAGAGCCCCAATGGGCCTGCATCGCTCACCTGGTATTAATCTCACAATTGTTACCTTAAAAGTGGACTAAAATAAAGCTACAGGCAAAATATCAGTGACTTAAGTCATTCAGAAGAACCTGTCAAATGATTTAAACACATTTGACCCCTATGACCTTGAAAGTCAAACACTGACATTAAATTTAACAAACTTTATAGCGTTCATCCCAGAATGCAACTTGTCAAATATCACCATTCTCATGGCCCTGTATACCTTTTGTTAATCATGAAGAATGACTTTTAAGATTTATTCACTGTGGACCAGATGTGACCTTGAAAGTGTGTCAAGGTCATTCACATGAACAAGCAATCTTCCTGGACGCTTAAGTTATTCAGAAGGAGTCAATTTATTTAGTGTTTTTAAGACAAATAACCCCTGTGACCTTGAATATGGGTGAAGGTCATTCATTTGAACAAGCTTCATAGCCCTTCATGGCAATACCCTTCTGGTCAAATATCATCACCCTAGACCTTTTGTTTATACAATAGAAGTCGTTTAAAGGTTTTTAAGACAATCGTCTCGTGTGACTTTGAATATGAGCGAAGGTCATTCATTTGAACTAGGTTGGTAGCCCTTCATCCCAGCATGCTACAGATCCAATATCATCACCCTGGACCTTTAGGTAATTCAGAAGAAGTTGTTTAGTTGTTTGAAAGTGTTTAAGACAATTGACTCCTGTTATTTTAAATACATGTATGGGCAAAGGTCATTCATTTGAACAAACTTGGTAACCCTTCATCCCTGCATGCTCATAGCCAAACATCATCACCCTGGACCTTTTGGTAATTCAGAAGAAGTTGTTTAGTTGTTTGAAAGTGTTTAAGACAATTGACTCTTGTGACCTTGAAAATGGGCAAAGGTCATTCATTTGAACAAACTTTGTAGCCCTTTATCACTGCATGCTCCTAGCCAAATATCTTCACCCTGAAGCTTTTGATTATTAAGAAGAATTTATTTAAAGATTTTCAAAACCCTTGGCCTCTTGGTTATTTAGAAGAATTTCAACATATTTGACCCCCCTTTGACCTTTAATATAGGCGAAGGTCATGAACAAAGTAGGTAGCCCTTCATCCCAGCATGTTAATGGTCAAATATCATCATCCTGGGCCTTTTGTTTTTTCAGAAGTTATTTAAAGATTTTAACATATTTGACCCCTGTGACCTTGATAATAAGGGAAGGTCATTCATTTGAACAAACTTGGTAGCCCTTCATCCCAGCATACTACTGGCCAAATATCAATACCCTAGGCCTCTTGGTTATTTAGAAGAAGTTGTTTAAAAGTTTCGACATATTTGACCCATGTGACCTTAAATATAGGGGAAGGTCATTCATTTAAAAAAAAATGGTAGCCCTTCTTCCCAGCATACTACTGGCCAAATATCAACACCCTAGGTCTTTGGGCCAGGTGAGCTAAAAAATGGAATATGTCATGTATGCTTACATGATTTTTTTGTTGTATTTCACCTGTAAGATATTTGAACAACTGGGTCTTTTGAGTCAAATGTATGAGGAGAAGCAAACTTACCAGGAATCTCAGTCAGTAGTCGAATTCGGAATGGGAAGATGTAACTTCCTAACATAAAAAGATCTGCAAGTAAACAACACATAATCACACACATTTCAACTGTAAAGTGTGTGGTTAACACAGTATATTTATTTTATGCCATATTTGCCTTAAATGATAAATAAAGAAAAAAAAAATGACAAATATCATATTTCAAGTTATGAATATATAAATAACTGTGCCTTTCAGATATATTTTTATCTTAAAAAAATGTTTTTCTTTGAAACAATACATTTTTTTCAATCTGAGGAACAATTGATTTTTACCTTGACTCTTGTACAGGTCAATGTCAGGATAATCTAAATAGTGTTTCTTTGCTTCAAATTTCTCTTCTGCAGGTGGGTTTCCTAGCCTGTACAAAACTAAAGCAACAAATATTACAGATTCTTATGATAATAATACATGTACCAGGTACATAATTCTTACTTTCCTTATAAAACTGGTTTTATGAGATTTATATTCATTCTCATAAGTAACTTTTTAAGTCTAACCCACTAAGTGAATGGTAAAGCCTGTAGAAAATACTTCATAAATGAATCTGAAGGAATATACAAATAAATCGAAAGAATAGACGAAAGAATCTAATTATTTTACAAAGATATCTTGCTCCAGCTTTCCTCATGTCAATTTATTTCACATACAAACAGTATATATCAATTAATCTGACACAGACATGCTTTTCACAAATCACTTTCCTGAGATATCTGTAAGAATTTTTAAGTCTGACACAAATTGTCCTGATACATCTTGTCACATCTGGTTCTACCCTCACATTAGGGTTCAAATGATTTTCAATGCTCTAAATCTCATGCATGGCAAACCTTGGCTAGTTGATGGAATAATTTTACTTCATCATGAAACACATCTGACACACATGTAAATGTTTAATGATGATATGGCTCATGTAATTTTTATCATGATACTGACAACACAAAACTGTACTTACAATGTTCACAACCTTGAAATTTCAGACGAATGCCACATCCTGTCGTTGTACTTACTATATTCAAGTAAACAGCTCTGTAAAAACACAAGCATGATCTGATTCACAAATACATTGCCAAAGTGAACAATGCGATCGATTTAAGAAACAAATCAAACCCAGGACTACACAGTTGTACCAATTTAATCGTGGGACACATTTTAGCCAATGAGCTGAAGAAGTGTGCCCTCCAGCAGTATATCAGTGACAGGCGACTATAGATGGTTCACTAACATTGTAAAATCAGTTTTAGGATTAATCACTGGTTCCTCCTGATTTTAGCATACTTCACTATTGGAAATATTGAAGCATTTTCTATTTAACATCACATAAATATGAACTGTTCAAATATACATCTGCTAAACCAGATTAAAAGGTAATTGCCAAACATGAAAATGATAAAATAAAAACAATTTTGCACCAAGGCTTAGCTTCAAGCTAAAGTACATTTTACTGAACATATATATATATATCACAATACCATGCTATTTATATGCTACTTTTTTATCACAATTTATTATGTTTTGTCCAGGTACTGCACTATTTGTAATTCGACTGCTGAAGTCAAGACGAGTATCATATTCTAATTGTCTTGGTGTGTAACCATATACAAAGATTTAAGAAGTCGTTTTATGAAAAGTACTACTAGAATAAACCATTGATATGTTCAAATTTATAGAACTACTATGTGTTAAGAATACAAAAGATATGTTGTCTAGGTAAATTAATTCTTGAAGCAAATTAAATTCCTACTCTACATTGTACATTGGATTGTTCACTGTGCTGTTCTCACATGTATAATTATGTATTGTATACTGATGGACCGTAAGTGGTGTAGACTAGAGGATAGAAAATCATGTGCAAGATATCTATCATTAAATATCATTAAATATTTATTCAGGTATAAGTGGTTGGACAGCATCCGACGGAAGGTTTAGCCATGTTTAGCTATTTCTACCCGAATTTTCATTTGTGCTGGACTTATGTATTCCATTAGGAATCAACTCGCGGAAGACCACCAGAACATTTGGAAGATTTGGATACGGAAATTAATCTCCTATTTCTAGCATTAAATATTTATATGGCCATTTCCATTGTATACAATTGTCCAGGCCTGGAAAGCACCATCATTGATACTCCAAGGGTTCTGTTCACTTTCGCTCTCTGCACCTTTGGAATATGACATACCAACATTTAAGGCACAAGGCTAGCTATTTGATTTGTCTGGGGTTTAATTATACCTGACCAATCGCTAGGCTGATATATATATGTCCTTTGAAGATTACAGAGGAGCGACACCTGACTTCAAAGCCAGTCAATTTTACTGTTATGCGATCATGTGATTCTTTTGATGTACATCGAAGGATCAAACTAGTCTTCTTGTCTCATTCAAAAGGTGGTGCACTTAGTGAGTGACTGAGCCTTCGATTTTGCTATGGTATAGTCCAGGGGTGCAGAGAGTGTAAGTGAGCGGAACCCCTGGAGTATCCAGGATGGGAAAGCACATGACCCAGGCACTTGTTTAGCATACAATATATGGTAGTCTAAAGGCTATCCAAACACAGCTGAGTTCGACTGTCCCGTGTCTCGTTTGCTGTGTTTTTGACTTAGTCATTTATAATTGGACGAGAAAATAATAAAAACATTTTTTTAGTTTTAAATGACAGAAATGTGTTTTTTAATATCTGTGACTGTACTGGTCTACTGCGAAATATTAAATAATTACGAAGGAAATGTTAACTCGGAAATGTGTTAATGGGGTTTACAGATAAGGCAGGTATATGTATATATTGTTATTGTAAGTTGTGAGTGTGCTAGTGGACTCTCAGCAGCTCAACAGTACGGTACCCCAACAGTACATGTGTATACTTACCCGTAAATGTCTTCTCCTGGCAGGTATTCGCCTTTATGGCTCCGAAGCACGATTTGGTTCATGACACTGTGTAAAAGTAATTAGTGTTGACATCCTAGATCTTGGTGCCAACAATCGAATTGATAACATCGAGGAAGTTCCGTTTGTTTATTTTCACATGCTGAGTCCGGAAGTAAATAGAACGACCGGATGTAAGATCTTATTTATAATATGAGAACCGAACAAATATATTTATCCGGACAAGACCCGATCCGATTAACTAAACGGAGGAATCTACAACACCAACCAACCAACCGAGACGTTCAGCGTAGTAATCAAAATATCTCAATTAATTGTTACTGTAACAACTGGTACCTGGTACATACAGTCATTTTACTCATAGGTACAATTGTACATTATGTTCAACCTTGGATAACGACAATCGTACAATATAAAGTCTGAGTGCTATAGATTCTTTACAATTGTGTTTTAAGTCACCTGCCCGAATGGCAAATAAGTGATCTTATGCCGTGGCGCGGCGTCCGTCCGTCGTCCGGAGTCAATATTTTACTTTAAACAACTTCTTCTCAATAACCAAAAGGCATAGGGTGATGATATTTGTCCAGAAGCAAATTAAACTGGGATGAAAAGGCTACGAAGTTAGTTCAAATAAATGACCTTCACCTATTTTCAAGGTCACAGGGGTCAAATATGTAAACAAAAAAAAACAAAAAAACAACTTCTAACAACTTCTCAACAACCAAAATACCCAGGGTGATGATATTTGGCCGGTATCATGCTCGGATGAAGGGCTATCTTTTTTGTTCAAATGAATGACATTGACTTATATTCAAGGTCACAAGGGTCAAATATGTTAAAATGTGTTACCGACTTTTTCTTAATAACCGAGAGGCCTAGGGTGATGATGTTTGGCCAGTAACATGCTGGGATGAAGGGCTACCAACTTTGTTCAAATGAATTACCTGGATTTAAAGTCAAGGTTACAGGGGTAAAATATGTTAAAACCTTTTGACAACTTCTCCTTAATAACCAAAAGACCTAGGGTGGTGATATTTGGCCATTAGCATCCTGGGATAAAGGGCGACCAAGTTTGTTCAAATGAATGACCTTCATCCATTTCCAAGGTCACAGGGGTCAAATATGTTAAAATCTGTTAACGGTCTCTGAATCACTAAGAGGCCTAGGGTATGATATTTGGCCAGTAACATGCTGGGATGAAGGGCTAACAAGTTTGTTCAAATGAATGACCTTCATCTATTTTAAAGGTCACAGGGGTCAAATATGTTAAAATCTGTTAACGACTTCTGAATAACCAAGAGGCCTAGGGTATGATATTTGGCCAGTAACATGCTGGGATGAAGGGCTACCAACTATGTTCAAATGAATTACCTGGATTTAAAGTCAAGGTTACAGGGGTAAAATATGTTAAAACTTTTTGACAACTTCTCCTGAATAACCAAAAGACCTAGGGTGGTGATATTTGGCCAGTAGCATGCTGGGATGAAGGGCTACTAAGTTTGTTCAAATGAATGACCTTGACTTGTATTCAAGGTCACAGGGGTAAAATATGTTAAAACCTTTTGAAAACTTCTTCTGAATAACCAAAAGACCTAGGGTGGTGATATTTGGCCAGTAGCATGCTGGGATGAAGGGCTACTAAGTTTGTTCAAATGAATGACCTTGACTTGTATTCAAGGTCACAGGGGTAAAATATGTTAAAACCTTTTGACAACTTCTCCTTAATAACCAAAAGACCTAGGGTGGTGATATTTGGCCATTAACATCCTGGGATAAAGGGCGACCAAGTTTGTTCAAATGAATGACCTTGACTAATATTCAATGTCATAAGGGTCGAATATATTAAATACATGTAAACAATTTCTTCTGAATAACCAAAAGGCCTAGGATAATGATATTTGACCATTAGCATGCCGGGATGAAGGGCTACCAAGTTTGGTCAAATTAATGACCTTCATTCATTTTCAAGGTCACACGGGTCAAATATGTTAAAACCTGTTAACGACTTCGGAATAACCAAGCGGCCTAGAGTACGATATTTGGCCAGTAACATGCTGGGATGAAGGGCTACCAAGTTTGGTCAAATTAATGACCTTCATTCATTTTCAAGGTCACAGGGGTCAAATATGTTAAAATCTGTTAACGGTCTCTGAATCACTAAGAGGCCTAGGGTATGATATTTGGCCAGTAACATGCTGGGATGAAGGGCTACCAAGTTTGGCCAAATGAATGACCTTCATTCATTTTCAAGGTCACAGGGGTCAAATATGTTAAAACCTGTTAACGACTTCGGAATAACCAAGCGGCCTAGAGTACGATATTTGGCTAGTAACATGCTGGGATTAGGGGCTACCAACTTTGTTCAAATGAATGACCTGGATTTAAAGTCAATGTTACAGGGGTAAAATATGTTAAAACCTTTTGAAAACTTCTCCTGAATAACCAAAAGACCTAGGGTGGTGATATTTGGCCATTAGCATCCTGGGATGAAAAGGCTACGAAGTTTGTTCAAATGAATGACCTTGACCTATATTCAATGTCACAAGGGGTGGAATATATTAAATACCTGTAAACAACTTCTTCTGAATAACCAAAAGGCCTAGGATGATGATATTTGGCCATTAGCATGCTGGGATAAAGGGCTACCAAGTTTGTTCAAATGAATGACCTTCATCTATTTTCAAGGTCACAGGGGTCAAATATGTTTAAATCTGTTAACGGTCTCTGAATCACTAAGAGGCCTAGGGTATGATATTTGGCCAGTAACATGCTGGGATGAAGGGCTACCAACTTTGTTCAAATGAATTACCTGGATTTAAAGTCAAGGTTACAGGGGTAAAATATGTTAAAACTTTTTGACAACTTCTCCTGAATAACCAAAAGACCTAGGGTGGTGATATTTGGCCAGTAGCATGCTGGGATGTAGGGCTACTAAGTTTGTTCAAATGAATGACCTTGACTTATATTCAAGGTCACAGGGGTAAAATATGTTAAATACCTGCAAACAACTTCTTCTGAATAACCAAGAGGCATAGGATAATGTTATTTGGTCAGTAACATGCTTGGATGAAGGGCTACACAGTTTGTTCAAATGAATGACCTTTACCTATATATATGCTCACAGTGGTCAAATATGTTTAAAACATTTAAACAACTTTTATCCAAGAGGCCTGGGATAATCATATTTGGCCAATAACATGCTGGTATGAAGGACTACCAAGTTTGTTCAAATAAATGACATTGACATATATTTATGGTCACAGGGGTCAAATATGTTTAAAACACTTAAACGACTTCTTCTTAATAAGCAAACGGCCAAGGGTGATGGTATTTGGCCATTAACATGCTGGTATGAAGGGCTACCAAGTTTGTTCAAATGAATGACCTTGACTTAAAGTCAAGGTCACAGGGGTCTAATGTGTTAAAATCTTTTGACAATTTCTTCTGAATAACCAAGACACCTTGGGTGATGATATTTGTCCAGAAGCATGAGGGGATGAAGGGCTACCAAGTTTGTTCAAATGAATGACCTTGACTAATATTCAATGTCATAGGGGTCGAATATATTAAATACATGTAAACAACTTCTTCTGAATAACCAAAAGGCCTAGGATGATGATATTTGACCATTAGCATGCTGGGATGAAGGGCTACCAAGTTTGTTAAAGGAATGACCTTGACTTATATTCAATGTCATAGGGGTCGAATATATTAAATACACGTAAACAACTTCTTCTGAATAACCAAAAGGCCTAGGATAATGATATTTGACCATTAGCATGCTGGGATGAAGGGCTACCAAGTTTGGTCAAATGAATGACCTTCATTCATTTTCAAGGTCACAGGGGTCAAATATGTTAAAATCTGTTAACGACTTCGGAATAACCAAGCGGCCTAGAGTACGATATTTGGCCAGTAACATGCTGGGATGAAGGGCTACCAACTTTGTTCAAATGAATGACCTGGATTTAAAGTCAATGTTACAGGGGTAAAATATGTTAAAACCCTTTGAAAACTTCTCCTGAATAACCAAAAGACATAGGGTGGTGATATTTGGCCATTAGCATCCTGGGATGAAGGTCTACCAAGTTTGTTCAAATGAATGACCTTGACCTATATTCAATGTCACAGGGGTTGAAAATATATTAAATACCTGTAAACAACTTCTTCTGAATAACCAAAAGGCCTAGGATGATGATATTTGGCCAATAGCTGGTGGGATGAAGGGCTACCAAATTGGTCAAAGGAATGACCTTCATTCATTTTCAAGGTCACAGGGGTCAAATATGTTAAAATCTGTTAACGACTTCGGAATAACCAAGCGGCCTAGGGTACGATATTTGGCCAGTAACATGCTGGGATGAAGGGCTACCAACTTTGTTCAAATGAATGACCTGGATTTAAAGTCAATGTTACAGGGGTAAAATATGTTAAAACCTTTTGAAAACTTCTCCTGAATAACCAAAAGACCTAGGGTGGTGATATTTGGCCATTAGCATCCTCGGATGAAGGGCTACCAAGTTTGTTCAAATGAATGACCTTGACTTATATTCAAGGTCACATGGGTCGAATATGTTAAATATCGGTAAACAACTTCTTCTGAATAACCAAAAGGCCTAGGATGATGATATTTGGTCAGTAGCATGCTGGGATAAAGGGCTACCAAGTTTGTTCAAATGAATGACCTTCATCTATTTCCAAGGTCACAGGGGTCAAATATGTTAAAATCTGTTAACGACTTCTGAATAACCAAGAGGCCTAGGGTATGATATTTGGCCAGTAACATGCTGGGATGAAGGGCTACCAACTATGTTCAAATGAATTACCTGGATTTAAAGTCAATGTTACAGGGGTAAAATATGTTAAAACCTTTTGAAAACTTCTCCTGAATAACCAAAAGACCTAGGGTGGTGATATTTGGCCATTAGCATCCTGGGATGAAGGGCTACTAAGTTTGTTCAAATGAATGACCTTGACCTATATTCAAGGTCACATGGGTCGAATATGTTAAATATCGGTAAACAACTTCTTCTGAATAACCAAAAGGCCTAGGATGATGATATTTGGTCAGTAGCATGCTGGGATAAAGGGCTACCAAGTTTGTTCAAATGAATGACCTTCATCTATTTCCAAGGTCACAGGGGTCAAATATGTTAAAA